TCCGCCTCCTCTTCTCCCCCATCCCACCGCGCCTCTCGCAGACTGGCAGGGTGAGTCGCTCACACTGGCAGCTGGAATACTCGTTCCCTCTTAGATAATCCGAGAAGCAACCGACCGGAACGGAGGACAGCACTAATGGCTCAGGAACTGGCGCTCTACAAGGTGGAAATCATTGAACTCAGCGAGAGCCATTTCTCCGAACAAGGCCAATTGGAGGAGATTGGTGCCGGCTACATTTCCTTCGAGAGCGGTCGCCCCAAGGCAGAGAGATGGGCCGCGGGCGTCGCCCTTGCCATCCTGAACGACATCGTGGGATGACTGCCATGGCTGTCGCAGGGCACCAACGATCGCGTGATGAGCCTCTGTCTGCCTCTTCGGGGAGGCAAATCCACCACCCTCAACAGCGTATACATCCCGCCGATGACCAGCCCTGACGAGGCAAGAAACAAATCCAACGAGGGCCTTCAGGCACTCCCGGCGTCTGCGCCGAAGCCGGGCGACCTGTCTAAATCAGTAAGAGCACACCTACTGATAACAAGTCCCCTAGACAAGGAAAGCCCACCTACTGATAACAAGTACCTACGTCGACAGTATCACCGTATGATGTCTGGCTAACAACTGCGATCTTACCAAGTTAATTGTTCTTGGTGACTTCAACTCCCGCGTCTGCACAGACAATGATGCCTGGAGAGGAGTGCTAGGTCCCCATGGTCTCAGTGGCTTCAACGACAATGGCTTGCTCCACCCAGAAAGCTGCGCAGAACACCGGATCACCCTGATCAACACATTCTTCTGTCCCCCGATGCGAGAGAGGGCCACCTGGATGCACCCTCGGTCGCGACACCGGCACCGGATGGACAATGTCCTCGTCCGGAGACGAGAACAGCGGGGCTTATTGGTGACAAGGGCGATTCCGGGTGCTGACGGGTGGACCGACCATCGGCTCGTCATCTCTGAGATGTGGATCCGTCTACAGCCTCGCAGGAGACCTCAACGTAAGCCACCCGCAGGTAAACTGAATATTGCTGTTGTCTTTGCCGGCTAACAATCTCCACTTCAGCAATGAGCTAGCTCAGCGCCTAGCCAATCTTCCAGTCGCCGCCGCCGCCGCCGCCGCCGCCGCCGCCGCCGCCGCCGCCGCCGCCATCGCCACTACCACCACCCCCACCACCGAGGAGAAAACTTCCGTAGAGTACCGATGGTGCCAACTGCGGGACACAGTCTTATCAACGGCCCTGGCTGTCCTCGGTCGTGCACGTCGCCAACACGAGGACTACTTCAATGAAAACGACGCCGTCATCAGCAACCTACTCGTCGAGAAGTACCGTCTGCACAAAGCCTACGTCAACCGCCCCAACGACGAAAACAAAGCAGCCTACTACCGTAGTCGTCGCCTCGCTCAACAGTGACTGCACGAGATGCATGACGCCTGGACGGTTCGCAAGTCAGAGGAGGTCCAAGGGCACGCGGATCGCAACGAATGGAAGGATTTCTTCTCCGCGATCAAAGCCGTCTACGGTCCGCCAAACAAATCAACCGCACCCATTCTCAGCATCGACGACAGTGCCCTCCTCACCGAGAAGACACAAATACGGCGGCGATGGGCGGAGATCTTCCGAGGCGTCCTCAACAACCCCTCCACCATTTCCGACGCCGCCATCGTCCGTCTGCCTCAAGTGGAGACCAGCGTCGAACTCGACCTCCCGCCGTCTATGCAAGAAACCATCAAGAGACAATCTAGCGTGCATACGTAAGCTTTCGATAAATTCTCATCAGGGCTTTACGTTTGTATTGCTGGTATTACCGACAAAGACAAGGAAGACTGAAATGGCCATTTCTGGTTTATTAACCGTCGTCAGCCAGTCATACCCCACCCCGAAGTGTGGAACACCCGAGGCTCTAAATCGCGACCTGTTTTTTAGAAGTCCAACGCTTCTAACTGACGCCCGGCTGACGACAGCTAATATGCCAGAAATGACCATTCCAGTCTCACTTGTGCTCGTCGTTAATATCATTCTGCCTCTATCCTGCGTCGCTGTGCGCCTGCTGGTTGGGCTCTAGATAGAGCCCGTAAGGCACAACGGGACGAGCGAGTTCCGTAGAAACGATCGATGAACGCCGCTCTACCATTTATACTGCTATCGAAATGATTGAAATGAAAATGCGGACAAGCAGAACTTATTCTGTAGCTGGGGTTTGGGGGGAGGGTCTGGGTGGTTGAGGTGAAAAACAAATTTACCGTCAGTGTCAGGCGGAAGAAGGGGATGGTTGGCACTGGGACGGGTAATTATACGGGGGTGGCTGGCATGGTGGCTTTGACCCATGGTAACTGTAGGGCCTGTACGAAGTACTTTTGTGCGCATAGAACTGGTTTGTATATCCTGATTGCAGACGCCTCTGCTGTTGCCAACCGACGCTGTCCAAACGATATTGGGGAACTTGACAGGACCTTGTAAATCACTCGGAATGCTTGTCCTGCATCTACACCGCGGTCTGTGTCTGACAGTTCGACCATCGATTTCGATGATGTCCACCGTGTGCCCCACAGCAGCAGCGGTGGGAGCAGGGACGGTGACTTGCGCAGGGGTTTATAGTGCCCGTAGACTTGCGCTGCATCTACCTACACTCTCTCCTCCTCCCTCGCCCGAGCCCGGTGTCAAGACAGAGTCAAGAAGACCGGAGACGAGGGAGGTCGCAGGTGGATGGTTCGGACGGATCCTCACCTTGGCGTTCCACCACACCCCCTGGTCCACACAACAAATAACCAGGATTTCAACCAACACAACCGAGATTGGAGGCTGGCACTGCCGGAGCCGCACCTAGGCGTGCCGCCGACGCCTGGCTCGGATCCCACACTGTGGTGGGTGTCATAAAGGCCATATTAAGAAGGAGCCATTGCAGCCTGACTCTCAGACCCCCACGAGTCGAGGAGGAGGTCCAAGTTATCCCGTCAGCTGGCAACCTTCCAAGCCACAGCTTTTAGCGCAACGTGATAGCTTCAAGCGCGTCAGGTTGTTTATAGTGAGGAGAAAGTGCGCTGAGTCGTCGACCTTACTCTCCCTTCCCATTCCCACACCCCAGCCGCTGTGCGAGCCGGTCTGCAGACTGGAGTGGTAACTAGGCGCGGTGGCTGGCATGGTTCGACTGACCATGACTGTGCGCGCCACGTGCACGATTTGGCCCCCATACGACAGTTCGACCATCGATTTCGATGATGTCCACCGTGTGCCCCACAGACTGCATTGTGGGAGCAGGGACGGTGACTTACACAGGGGTTCATAGTGCCAGGAGACTTGCGTAGCATCTACCTACACTCTCTCCTCCTCCCCTGCCTGAGCCCGGTGTCAAGACCAAGTCAAGAAGACCGGAGACGGGGGAGGCCGCAGGTGGATGGCTCGGACGGATCCTCGCCTTGGCGCTCCACTCCGCACCCCCTGGTCCACACACACAAATGACCAGGATTTTGACCACAAAACAATGGGGTGGTGGCAGAGGTCCAGTTGTACGACGACTGCCGACAACAGGGTCTGCCAGCGCACCCCGCAAACGTTGGCATTTATTATTGCGCACAGATAACGCCTGCCAGAGTCCGATGTGGCCCCCGTGTTGGTCCAGCGCATCTAACACGTGGCCCGTTTGGAGGGCACTGGCCCCCCATACACACACACACACACACACACACACACACACACACACACACACACACACACCAGGATTTCGCACAACGGGGGTTGAACGGTGTGTCTCTCACTTGCGTGAGAGGGCCGTGGTAGGTGCTGTTTTAGCCCGTCCTCAGCCCACCAGTCCGCCACTCCACACACAACACACACACAACGGGACGAACTGCGTGAACTGAGTTGGGGCGACAATCTGCAACCTTCCTATCCACGAAGCTTGACGTGTCGGGGTAGTCTCAGACTCAAGTCACCCGTGCAGCCGAAGCCGCATGGGGACCGATTCGAAATGCACACTTCCCACATGCGTGGGAGGTGGCAGTTGGGTGCTTGCGGTGGGTGAATGTTGATGTGTGGGGGGGGGGTGGTGGTGGTGGTGGAGGCAGGGAGGGAGGGTGTTATGGTGTGGTGTAGCCGGCGGTTGTCTACCACAGGTCGTCGTGGATGCGCATGTGGCCGAGTAGGCCCATGCGATGCGTGAAGGTGCGAGGGCAGTGTGGGCAATGGAGGCGAGTGCGGTGGGTGTAGGTTGGTGCTCCAGGCACTGGTTCTCCAGTCTCTGTACGATGGATTCGCAAGTGACTGATCAGGCCGATGCGTGAGGTGAAGGTGCGGTCGCAGTGAGGGCAGGTGTAGTCCTAGTCCTCACCCCTGGAGTCGGAGTTTGGAAGGGTGGTGTCTTTTGTTGTGGCATGGATATGTGTGATACTGGTGTGAGTGACGGCCACCAGAGCGGCCGTGGTTGGTGCAGTGGGGCAGGAGGTAGAGGAAGAGGCGGGGGAAGAGGAGGAGGATGAGGGGAAAGAGGGGGAGGAGGACGAGGAGGAGGAAGAGGAAGAAGAGGAGGGGGAGGACGGAAGTGGTGGTTCAGAAGGATTGTCAGAGTTAGTTGGCGGCGGAGAGGCTGAGGCAGAGGCGGGCGTAGGGGCGGCGGTTGGTGCGGTATGCGAGGTGCAGTTGGTCAGAAGGTGTCCAATGAGCCCAATTCGTGCCCGGAATGTCCGTTGACACCGAGGAAACGTTGGAAGCAGTTGCGCGTCGGCGTTGCGGACGGGGCGTAGCTGGGATTTGCGTGCTTCGCGTTTCACTTTGGCAGCGGCGATTTGGTTGGCCTCATAGATCGCAGCGCCTATCTTCACTTTCCTCCTCCAGGTCGGTCGGTCGAGGGCGAGCTCTTCCTAGTTGGTGGAGTTGATTTGCAGATGTTTCAGGGAGGACTTCAGAGTATCCTTGTATCGACGAATTTGGCCTCCTTGACGGCGAGAACCCGTCGCGACGTCTCCGTAGAAGAGTCGTTTGGTTAGTCGCTCGTCGTCCATGCGCGCCAGGTGGCCGCTCCAGCGCAGCTGCATTTGTCTCAGCATGGTGTAGATGCTGACGATTCCCGTCCGTTCCAGCACATCAGTGTCGGGGATTCGATCCAGCCAGTTCAGCCCCAGGATGCGACGGAGACAACTGAGGTGAAAGTGGTTCATTCGACGTGCCTGCCTTGTGTATACTGTCCAAGTCTCCGCTCTGTACAGCAGCGTCGGCAGGATGACGGCCTTGTACATCTTCAGCTTCGTGCTCAGTTGGAGACCGTGACGATTCCAGACTGTGCTTTGTAGGCGGCCGAAGTCTTGACTGGCTTTCGAGATCCTGCGAGCGACCTCGTCATCGATTTTTGTGTTAAGGGAGAGGGTGCTGCCCAGGTACGGGAAGTTCTCCAACACTTGCTGTTGAGTTCCGTTCACACTGATTTGCGGCGCGTTGGGAGGAGTGGCTGTGTTGGGTGGCGGTTGATGCATCACCACCGTCTTCTGTGTGTTGATGAACAGACCGAAGTTCTCGCAGGCGGCGGAGAACAGGTCCATGCTCCGTTGCATCTCCTCTTCCGAGGTGGTGTTCAGGGCGCAGTCGTCGGCGAAGAGGAGTTCGTGCACGGTGGTTGTGGATACGCGCGATTTGAAGTGCATCCGCCGTTGATTCAGGAGGTGACCGTCCGTCCTGTAGGCGATGCGGATCCCGGGGCGTTCGTCGCGGTAGGCGTCCATCAGCATGGCAGAGAACATAAGACTGAAGAGGGTGGGCGCCAGTACGCAGCCCTGCTTCAATCCATTGGTCACTGCGAATGCCTCTGAGACAGCTCCGTTGTCCGTGACTCGCGCCATCATACCGTCGTGCAGCTGACGCACCATCTGAGTGAATCGCTCCGGACAGCCGAATTTCTGCATGATCTTCCACAGTCCTTCACGATTCACCGTGTCGAAGGCTTTCGTCAGGTCCACGAAGGTAGAGTACAGGTGGGTCCGCATCTCCTGACACTTCTCCTGAAGTTGACGGGCGGCGAAGATCATATCCGTGGTCCCACGGTGACAACGGAAGCCGCATTGGCTTTCCGGCAGAAGGCCCTGTTCCAGATGGTTATTGAGGCGGTTGAGGAGGATTCGTGCGAAGATCTTCCCGGCGATGTTCAGCAGGGAGATGCCGCGGTGATTGTCGCTGACTTGGCGATTCCCTTTGCGCTTATAGAGATGCTCGATTGTTGTGTCTTTGAAATCTTGCGGGACTTCACCTTGGCGCCACATCTCCTGATAGAGCGCAATCAGATGATCCATCAGTTGGGGACATCCATGCTGGTAGACCTCAGCAGGGATTGTGTCCGATCCGGGTGCTTTCCCGCTGGAGAGTTGCCGCACGGCCCTAATGGTTTCCTGGAGGGATGGCGGGAGATCGAGGTCCACGTTGGCCTCCATTTGCGGCAAACGGGCGATGGCGGCTTCGGAGATGGCGGAGGGGCGGTTGAGGACGCCTCGGAAATGCTCGGCCCATCTCTGTAGAATTTGTGTCTTCTCAGTCAGGAGGGTACTGCCGTCGGCGCTGAGGAGTGGAGCAGTGCCCTTCGTCGGCGGACCGTAGACAGCTTTGATCGCGGAGAAGAAGTTTTCCACTCGTTGCGGTCCGCGTAGCCTTGGATCTCCTCAGCTTTGCGAGCAGTCCAGGCGTTCTGCACCTCGCGCAGTCGTTGCTGAAGGTGGCGGCGACTGCGGTTAAAAGCAGATTTGTTGTCGTCAGTGAGTGGTCTACGTAGGCTTTGTGTAGGCGGTTCTTCTCGGCGAGTAGATTGCTGATGGCGGCGTCGTTGTCGTCGAACCAGTCCTGGTGTTGGCGGCGTGCGCGACCGAGGACGGCTAGCACCGTCGTCTGGACCGTGTCTCGCAGTTGACACCAGCGGTTCTCCACGGAGGCGTTCTCGGCAGCGGCAGCATCGGCGGCGGCAGCGATAGGAAGGTTGTCTAGCCGTTGAGCTAGCTCATTGCTAAAATAGAGATGGTGAGCGGGCAAAGACAACAAGGCAATATTCAGCTTACCTGGGGGTCGCATATCTTGTGGTCTCCTGCGAGGCGGTAGGCGAATACGCATCTCCGAGATGACGAGGCGATGGTCGGTCCACCCGTCAGCGCCCGCGATCGCCTTTGTCACCAGCACGTCCCGCTGGTCTCGCCTCCGGACGAGGACATAGTCTAGTAGGTGCCACTGACGTGACCGAGGATGCCTCCAAGTGGCCTTCTCTCGCTCCGGCAAACAGAAGGTGTTCGTCAGGATGCGGCGGTGTTCTGCGCAGGTGCGGAGGAGCAGCGGGCCGTTGTCGTTTGAGTCGCGGAGACCATGGGGACCCAGCAGTCCTCTCCAGGCAGCATGGTTTGTGCCGACGCGGGCGTTGAAGTCACCAAGGACAATCAACTTGTCCGCCTTCGACACAGTCGCCAAGAGGGCGTGCAGGTCCTCGTAGAATTTGTCTCTGACGGCGTCGGGGTTGGTCATCGTCGGAGCGTAGGCGCTGATGATGGTGGCGAATGTGCCACCCCAGAGAGGCAGACGGCGGCTCATCAGACGATCGTTGATGCCCTGCGGCAAACAGGGCAGTCGCCCCACGACGTCGTTCCGAATGGCGAAGACGACGCCCGCGTCTCGTCGCCCTGCCCTGGGGCGACCGCTCCAGAAGAATGTGTAGCCGGCACCCACCTCCTCCAATTGACCTTGTTCGGAGAATCGAGTCTCGCTGAGTGCGGCGATGTCCACCTTGTAGCGCGCCAGTTCCCGGGCCGCTGGCGCCGTCCTCCGTTCTGGTCGATTGGACATCGGATTGTCTAAAAGGGAACGAACATTCCAGGCTGCCAGAGTTAGCGGACTCACCCTGCCAGTCTGGCGACGAGTGGGGCGGCGGGAAGGAGATGGAGAAGAAGATGGCGAAGGAGAAGAATAGGCAGAGGAAGAGGAAGAAGAGGTAGGATGAGGAGAGCGAGTATTGTCAGCGATGCCGATTTGAAGATCCATCCCACCGGCTGACCAGCGGCGTGCCAGACGGAGCCTCTTCACGACGGTGCCGACACGGTGTTCCATCCGACCAACCGTCCAACGAAGTCCGCAGTACCCTGTGCACGTGGCACAACGCGCACCGGGAGTAACCGCCCTCACCTGGTTTAGCCCGCTGGTCGAGGCGGTTGCCCGAGGTGTGGCCGCTGAGAAGAGCCCAGCTACGTGGAGCTACAGGTGAGAGTTGGGTGACAGCAAATGGACGCTAGGCGTAGTCTCACCTGCAAGCAAATGAGCGACCACTACGACCGTCACGTGAACCCACCGCTGACACCCTTACACCCCGGTCTGTGTCAAAAATGTGGGCGAGGATATAGCTGTTGACGTTCTTTATTTGCTCCTTTCCTAACCATGCTGGAAGGTGTTCTCCTGTTCTTTTGGACAAACGCCGGCTCGTGCGACCAAGATATTCTGCCCTACAGGAGCTAGTGAAGGAGTAAATACACATAGAAGTGGCCTGGGCTGGCAGTTTGTCCTTGCTCTCTCCGTGTAGGATGGGACTAGTGAAGAAGAGCACATGGGCGTCAGTTGCTGAAAAGGTGCATGATACTGCTTGAGTTATGCGCCTTCTTAAAAGTTCACTTGGCGCGCCCCCTTGAAATGGGACCCTGATGAAAAGCTTCTTCTTTTCTGCCGTCAGCATCGGGAACTTTGATGGTCTTTCGGCCATGTACACGGCAATGAATCGATCGGGGTGCCCCCTCTGGCGACAATCTCTCTCGCAAATCTTAAGTTCCTCCCCAATGCAATCAGCCGAGCAGATACTTCTTACTCTTTGCGTCAAATAACGGACTAAAGTGCGCTTCATGTTTAACGGTATGAAGCTCCCAAAATTTGTGTATTGCCCGGACCACGTCTTCTTACGATAGACGCTACGTCGAATACTACCGTCAGGCCTTCTACTTAAAAGTACACCCAGAAAGGGGATCGATCCGGATTGCTCTTCTTCCAGAATAAATTTGATTGAGGGGTGCGCCTGATTGATATCATCCAGTAGAGCTGAAACGTCGTTTTGTTCAGTTGCAATAGCGACTATATCCTCAACGTAGCGTCTACAGTATCTCAGACCATTGGTCTGGCGACTAAGCTCGAAAGCTTCTAGCTTGCACATGAACATGTTCGCCAAAAGAGAACCAAGGGGCGAGCCCATAGCCACTCCGTCCATATGTCCATACAGATTGTTGCCAAATAGGAAATGTAGGTTTAGGGTACATCTCAGTAGCAATTCCTTGAGTGCATATGCCGGCGTTCCTATATCCTGATTATTAGCGACAATGAATTCACAGAGGTATTTGACAGTTTCTGTGGCCGATACCGTCGTAAAAAAAGACGAGACGTCCGGTGAAAACATAATCATTCCGTTTGGGTTGAGATCTTTAACGACATTCACGAATTAAAAAGTATCCCTATAGCTATGTGGTGCTAGCTGGTGTTATATGGACTTAGGTTTCTCCCCTAGCCATTATGCCATCGCATGGTACGGCGAAATTTTCATGTCTAGGAATGGAAGAGCAGGCCATTAAGGCCGTGCAACAGCTCTCCAGCAAGAAAGCGTCCGGATCGGACGCGATCCCTGCATAGATCTGCAAGCACGATGGTTCCCAAATCAGAGATCATCTGACGGCACTCTTCCAGGCGATGTGACGTCAAGGAGAAGTCCCCCAGAATTTCAAGGACGCAACAGTCGTGCATTTATACAAGCCCAAAGGAAACCGCCAAATCTGCCACAATCACTGAGGCATCTCCTCACTGAACATCACCGAGAAAGTCTTCGCTCGCATCTTTCTCGACCGCATGAACAACCATCTGGAAGAAGGTCCCCTGCCGAGAAACCAGTGCGGCTTCCGTCATCATCGTGGAACCACGGGCGTGATCTTCGCCGCCCGCCAACTGCAGGAGAAGTGTCAGGAGATGAGGACCCACCTGTATTCTACCTTCGTGGGTCTGATAAACGCATTCGACACGGTGAATCGCGAAGGACCGCGGAAAACCATGCAAAAATTAGGCTGTCCCGAACTACTCACTCATATGGTACGTCAGCTCCACGATGGCGCGAGTAACAGACAATGGAGCTGTCGCAGATGACTGCGCCCTCAACGCCACCTCGGAAGGGAACATGCAAAGGAGCATGGATCTCTTCTCCGCCGCCTCCGAGAACTTCGGCCTGGTCATAAACACGGAGAAGACGGTGGTCATGCATCAACCGCCACCGGATGCTGTCTACTTCAGACCCCAAATCAACGTGAACGGTGCCCAACTGCAAGTGATGGATAACTTCACGTATCTGGGCAGCACCCTCTCCCACAGCACCAACATCGACAATGAAGTAACCCGTCGGATTTCCAAGGCCAGTCAAGTCTCCGATCGTCTTAAAAGCACAGTTTGGAATCGCCACGGTCTTCAACCCTGCACGAAACTGAAGATGTACAAGGCCATCATCCTACCGACGTTGCTATATGGAGCTGAGACTTGGGCGGTATACATGAAGCAGGCACGTAGACTCAATCACTTCCAAGTCAGTTGTCTTCGTCTAACATTAAGGATAAGGTGGTGAGACCGGATCCCAGACACGAACGTACTGGATCAGACGGGGATCCTTAGCATTCACGCTATTCTGAGACAACTGCAACTACGCTGGAACGGCCACCTCGTAAGGATAGACGACGAAAGGCTACCCAGGCGATTCTTCTATGGAGATGTCGCAGCGGGTTCGCGCCGCCAAGGAGGCCAGATCCGTAGCTACAAGGACACTCTGAAGACCTCCCTGAAGCCTCTACAGATCAACCCGACAAACTGGGAAGACTGCCCAGGACCGAACTATGTGGAGGAGGACAATGAAGACAGGCGCCGCGATCTACGAGGCCAACCACATCGGCGGCGCCAATCCGAACGCGAGGCTCGCAAATCTCAATTGCACCCAATCCGTACCGCCAACGTCCATCCGACTCCAACGCGCTCACTGTGTTAACGGACATTTTGGGCGCCAACTGGAAATGGTGGACACCTTCGGAACAAATACAGCACCCGAACTGCACCAAGCGTCATGTCTCCGTTCCCCTCTTCCTCGCCTCATACGCCGCCAAATAACACTGACTGCCCTCCCGAACCGCCACTACCACCCTCCTTCTACTCCTCTACGTCTGCCGCTGTGGCGTCTGTCATGCCCATCAACAGTACACACAATCGTGACGCACCAACAAACCAACACCGTCGACAGCAGTGACGAGCACCCAATCTAAACCTGTCCTCATTGTGACCGCAACTTCACCTCATGCATCGGCCTGATTGGTCATTTGCGAATTCATTGCACAGAGACTGGCGAACCAGTGCCTGGAGCACCAACCTATACCCACCAAGCTCGCCTCCGCTGCTCACACTTTCATGCATCGCATTGGCCTACTCGGCCACATGCGCATCCACGACGACCTGCGGTAGACAACCGCCGGCTACACCACACCATGACATTGCCCCTCACCAGCATCTCACCGCACGTCTATATCACCCAGCGCAAACACCCAGCTACCACCTCCCACACAAGTGGGAAGTATGCGTCTCGGCTCCTTCTCCGTGCGGCTCCCCTGTTGCATGTGTGATCGGAATCTGAGACGAAGACGGTGCGTCGAGCGCCGTGAGTCGGAAGGCAGCCGACTGACGCCCCAACTCAGCCTACGAAGTCTGCCCTGTTGTGTGTGTTGTATCGAGTGGCGGACTGGTGGGCTGATGGCCAGGCTGTCACGGCCCCTTCTCAAGCGATCTGTGACACTGTCAGGCATGTGAGGAGAGAGAGGGAAAGAGAGTGTGTGTACTTTATGGGTAGTGCCTCTCAGTCGACGACCGGTTGGTTACCCAACCTTGGCGGGTGACGGCCCAGGCTAAATGCCGGGCCACCTGTCGCCCTTCTAGATCAGAAGGTCTGAAAGCGTGTTTTATATCAGTATCCGCAAGTCATGGCCCTCGCAGCCTGGTATGTGCTGGCAGTTCCCTGACACCTAGTTCCCTGCCGGTAGATGGGCTGGCGTTCCCGTAGGGTATACAGGTGGTGGGCATGGTTGCCCAGTAATCATCCTCGTCCGTCTGATCCCTGTTGATGTTTTGTTGTTATTGTTGTTGTTGGTGATGGAGAATCCTGGTCAGGTATATGTTGTGGACCAGGGGTGTGGTGGCACACCTATGTTCATGTCCGGCCGTGTCAGCCACCTGCGCCCTCCCCCGCCTCCTGTCTTCTTGACTCTGTCTTGACACCGGACCCATGTGGGGAGGAGGAGGAGAGAGGGCTGTAGATGCTGCGCAAGTCTGCTGTCACGATAAACTAAATGACGCAAAAGTGGCCGAGTTTATTGGGAAATAACGAATTCTTCCTTCAGGGACAGAAAAGAATGTAATCGACAGTTCATTCGAATTCAAGCTTTGCAATACCTTATTTTAGATCAGATTGCCTGTTTTGAAACGACCTCAGGTAGGCTATCAAGGAGAAGAGATTGCTTAAGTACGGTTACAATGCTGATTAATGGATAAGACAGTTAACGTTTCTCGGCTATTTTCTGCAACTCAGAATGTTGCCTTTTGAGTGAAAGCCTTACTAGGCAATTACGAAAACCACTCGCAGGCAAAATGAATAGGTAATTGGCATCAGTGTATTTCAGTTCAGTTTTATTAAGGGAAATATAGGCTAGCGCTCTTGAACTCCCGTTTAGTTGCAAATCATTTGCGAAAAGCACGGAGAAATGCAAAGTTGGAAAAGAGATTTTGTGCATTATTGCATGTGAAAAGCAGGAGACTGCCAACCATTCAAAAATAGTTATCATTGACGGTTACTCACTCATTGTAAGTAGTATAAGACGTATATAGTTTAGGTGATAGTCATGTGACTGTGTGTGCGGCTCGTAACTGTGAGGCTTGATACGCGTCAAGTCTACAATCAAAGTAATTTACACTAGAGGATATTACAGTACCGGTAGGCAGGGCATTATACGCTGCAACCACTCTGTTACTGAAGAAGAACTTTCGTCAATTGCTCCTTGCTTTACCTGAGCGTAGTTTTAGGGGGTGACCGAGCAGATTGGGCGTGTTAGCTTGAGTGAGGTAATCACTGGGATCTAAGCAACGGTCTAGGTCGTTTGTAATGCGGAATGTAAGTATAAGGTCACCGCGTAGTTACCTGTAGGAAGGGGTAAACAGGTTGAGAGTTGGCAGTCTGGCTTCATAGGGCAGTGCTTCCAGACCTTCTGTCATTTTTGTCGTCCGTATCTGAACTATAACATTGTGTAGTCGTTGACAGCCCAAGGCCTCCATGCCTGTATGGCGTGTTCTAGATGAGGCCGCACGAAGGTGCCAAATATTTTGGAAAAGCATTCAGTGTCAAATCCCATAAAGGCTCGTCTAATGAGTTGTAATGTAGCCATAGCCGAACTAGCCGCCTTCGCGCAGTGCAGTGTTGGTTTGAGTGAAGATGTAATCCACACACCCAAGTCCTTCTGACTGTCAACTTGTTTAAGTGCTGTACTGTGAAGAAAGTAAGTCCTGGGGCTGGAGGTTTTGCAGTTGCACTTACTCACATTGAAAGGCGTTAGCCAGCGCTTCGACCAGTCCTCGTGCCTGTTCAAGTTTGTTTGCAGGTGGTCTCCGTCTGCCGCATTGTGAATAACTTTCCACAATTTTATGTCGTCAGCAAACAGGATGGCATCACAGTCTAGGTACTCGACGAAGTCATTTATAAAAACGAAGAATAGCGTGGGGCCTAAGACTGAGCCCTGTGGGACGCCACTCATCACGCATATCTCTGAAGATTGCTGGCGTCCGACCTGCACTCTTTGAGACCGTCCGGTTAAAAAATTCTGGATCCATGTAAGATGGCATCCGCAAATTCCTGCGTCGCACATTTTGTGCAAGAGACGTTGGTGAGGAACGTTGTCGAAGGCCACTTTGATGTCGAGGTAGATGGCGTGCACCACAAGGCCTCCTTCGCGTGCTTTGATCCAGCGTTCGGGTGAAAAGAGCAAATTCGTGAGACAGGACCCACCACTTCGAAAGCCGTGTTGGGCATCTGAGGGGAGGTGATGCTGCTCGAGGAACTGCATCAACGCCTTCTTGGGGATTTTCTCCATGATCTTGCGCCAGATGGACGTACGACTCATTAACCTATAGGTATTCGCAGATGCACGACTTCCACCCTGAAAAAGCGGAGTGATGGCAGCGAACTTCCAGTCGGAGGGTAAGCACTCAGTAGCAAACGACGTTTGGAAAAGCAAGGCTAACGGTTTGAACATTTCGGGGCTAGCTCCTTCAGCAGCTTGGCCGGGATTGCATCAGGGCCTGGGGAGGTCGATTCCTTCAGGTTAAGTAACTCTTTCTGAACTATTGCCTAGCTGAGGAAGACTATTTCAATGGTAAGCGTTGCTTCGTCTTCACAGGTGGGCGGGAAAAAATCGAATTCACATGTCATGACGGACCGGAAGAACTGAGAGAAATGCCCAGCATTATCCTCGTCATCTGAGATTTCCGTGCTCTCCGCTGTTCGCAGCGGTGGGATGGGATCTTTGTTCCGCGGACTCTTCCCTATGAAACAGTAAAAGACTTTGGGACTAACTGTGGCACGGTTCAAAAGATCCTTTTCGAAGACTTGCTGATCTCTGGCGATGAGAATTTTAACCCGGTTTCTCTGTAACCTATAACTGTTTAGGGATTCTGGCGCCCGGCCAATGGAGGATCTTTTCCCTAGTTTCCTCTCCTAGTTAACTTCCTTCTTTAAGAACGGAGTCAACCAGTGGGATCTATTCGTTAGTCTTCTGAGCATGATTGTGCAGTGGTTGGAGATGAGTCTGTGGACTATCTCTTTGAACTGACACCAAACCTTTTCGATATCGCCGGAGAGTGTGGATGTCCAGTCGATAGGACGAAGATCCTTTTTCATCTGTTCGCAATCGCCGCGCCAGATAGTGGGTCGGGAATCGAGCGTTTGTGAAGGCAGGGAGAATAAGATGTATTCCCACACGAGAACTATACGGTCGCTTTGACCTAATGGGGGAGGTAATTCACGACGTCGATGTTATCAGAAGACTTAGTGCACGCAAGGTCGAGGCAGTTCATTTGCGGGCCCTCACGAACTCTCGTCGGAAACGTTACGTGTTAGGTGAGAAGCAGATTGTCGGAGGTATGCAGTAGCTGCTGGTCAAATGCTATTTCAGAGCGGCCGGCGGAGGCCGAGCTCCAATCGATGTGAGGTGCAGTAAAGTCCCCAACGAAGAGAATATTCGGCCGCGTAGAAAACAATTTGAGCTCATCCAGCAGTTGGGTGTCACCTTCGGGATCATTTCTCGGGGGACGATACACTGTCAAGACGTCAAGGCTTTGAGAGGCGGGTGCTCTTATGGCTAACCATAATGTTTCCGTACTACAAGTCAGCTTAGCAGCTTCTTCCGAAACGTACAAACCTTTCTTGACAAATGCTGCTATGCCTCCATCCCTTTTTATTTCCCCTGTCTCTGCGGAACAGTTAGAATCCAGGCAGCATAAACTCTCTGTCATCAACCTGTTCGGACCAGCATGTTTCTGTTATTGAGATAACGTCTGGGTGGAGATCGCAGATATGGATTCGGAGTTCGTCCGGTTTCGAAAGTACGCTTTGCGCGCTAGCATACATGAATGTGAGTTTCGAATTCATGCGAGATTTATTTACAGCCCCGACACAGACTGCAGGAGTATCTGTGCGGTCATTTGAATCGGTTTGAGCTAGAGGGGAGCAGAATGTCGTTTTACAACCTGATCTTTGTAGATTACCAAGTTCTGTTCGCCGTGTTCTCAATTCTAGGACAAGTTCGGAGCGTTTCATTCGTTCGACAGGTGAGTAATCCGGCTGGAAAAAACTCCTTTTTGGGAATGCTTCAGTTGAAAACGCCTAGGATTATCGATGTTTGCATAAACTGAACTACATTTCTTAAGGAGGATGTGCAAATATATTTGCTGCGACTG